CCCCCGCCTTAGCTCTTATTCATGATCAGATATTTTCATAACAGTTTCTCTTAAGAGGCATTGAGTCACCCCAAAGCATCATTCAGACTCCACTGCTCTATGTATGTTAAGTGTCAGTGCTTTGTGATGCTGATACCTAAAGAGTTTGAGTCTGTCATGAGCATTACTATATAATTTTTTACACTTCGAAATTTGAGTGCCTTTTTGAACTGTGGAATGATGAGTTAAAAGTGAAATACTTGATCTTGTTTGAGTTTTGAAGCAGAAAGAAGTACTGTATAGTGAGACTTTGCAGTAAGTATAATGCTCACTTCGGCATGGGTAGGTTTAGGGGCAGATCCAGGAAGATCAGGCTGTGCGGCTCATACACAGCAAACTCTCTGAGCTCACTGGCTTATCAGCGTGGTTTCTGCTTTAGCATCGCTCTGGAACCTAGGAGGTGAACACTGCCCCTGCTTGCTACCACTGCTTATACACACCCCTTTTCCTCTATGGTCCAGTTTGATGATCTGTATTAGGTGGGTGAGACCATTCATAGAGCTGCATGTAGAAGAGAAGTGAAGTTTTGCAGTCCTATTGAAAAGATGGTGCCATAGGGGGTGCATATCTCTTTCAAAAATAGGTAGATATTTTACTTGCCAAAATCACTACAGGTATTCTGTTTTTAACTACTGTATTTTCTGACATTATGCACCTTCCCCTCTCCTCCCCCCCCCCCCCCCCAAAAAAAAACAGTGCCCCAAAATTGGGGGGGAGGGGTATGTATTAGGCAGGGAAGCACCTTGCTTTGATTCCTGCTCCAGGGCAGCAGTTGTTGCATTACTATTCAGGAAACTGAGGGAGTGTCAGTTGATTCAATGGCTTATTGTTCTTCACTCTAGAAGTGTTAATGGACATGTCTCCTTTTTAAAGATCTTAATTTTCAACTAATTAAGCAGACCTTTCTTAAGGCAGTTTTGCTGTCTGCTCCTGTCTCTCTCTTCCTATTTCACAGTCCTGGAGACTATTTAGCTCTTTTAAAAATCAGAAATCCACCCATGAAGACCAGTCTTAAACTGAAACCCTAGCCATTGCTGTAGGTAAGCAGGAAAGGAGTGTGAGTCACTGAAGACTAGGCTCCATCTCTGCTCTCTGCAGCCATAACTCTGGAAAAATATTTTCTTCAATCTCACTTTCAAAATGAGGCACATATTATATTCTGGGGCATGTTGTATGTAAGAAAATTTGGTGTATTTTTCTCAGAACACAAAGAGGAAAAAAGCACATATGTGCTGTCTTTGTTGTCCACACCTTAATGCAGATTCTCACTGGGTGCGTGTTCTACAAATGTGAATGGGACCTCCTTTGGACCTCTGGCTTAAGGGATACTTGAGAATGCCCCACACAGCCAAGATTTCTTTCATTTTGCATTCAGCAAAGACCTTGGGGCACTTGCCCTTAGAAAGCAGGATATTAACACTATTGTTTTGAATATATGCTGAACATTTTTTTCCCTATTAATATGCACTTTACAGTTTAAGGTGAATATTATTTTATAATTGTCATGACCCAAAGGCATGATTTTGTGTGTGCTTCGGCACCAGAATTATCCCTGCCAGGTTGCAGCTTCATTGCACGGGAGAGTTTCCTATTGCAGAGGAGAACCCCGGTGCAGGGACGAGTTTCCCGCCTCTTTGCAGCTTCTTTTGCAGAGTGCATTGCTCAAGTTGCAAGAGGAATGCTCGGTGCAAAAGAGTTCCCGCCACCAGTATGCAAATTCGTTCCCCGCTATTGGCTAGTTCTAAATTATTCCCACGTGGCGGCTAACGATTGGCCGGTTAACCGTATAAGAGGCTTGAGCGGTTTCCGCCCAAGCCGAAGAGGACTCCACATCCATCTCGTGGGGACTCTGGATACACGGCAGGATAATAGAGACCCTGTGTGAGATTCAGAGGAGTTTGGCGACCTGATCCATCTCCCACCTCTTCCCGTGTTCGAGTGCAAATTTTATAAGACGTATCTCCAATTCCGATTTTGGTGGCGTGTTCACCCAGAGCATCCGGAGCTCTGTTTCGTGGAGCCTAGCAAACTCCACGCGACCGTTTGTGTTGTCTGTGTCTGTAACCGCAACTCAAGCAAATTTCCCAGCCTACACCACTGCCATCTCGGTGTAAGTAAACAATCTTTAAAACTACCGCTAAGCGTTTGTGCCTAATTCCAGCTCGTCGCCCTCCCTCTCCGATCCAGCATGCCCGGGCTGCTTGCCACAGCCCGCGTGCAGCACGAAAAAGGGCTTGGGTCGCTCCCGGCCCGCACAATAATAACTTTTTTGTTCCGGACTCCATAACCACGTCTTCAGCACGAATTAAAGACCTTTTCATTTTCTGAACTTTCTCTCTTTATTGTGGTCCTTAATCTGTATTAGTGGGAGCATCTACATGAAACATTTACTGTGGAGTTGCCTAATTGGCTCTGCAGTAAAGTCTAAGTGTCTACACCTGCAGCCCTATGAGGTCTCAGTGAATTAATAAATGCCGCTTTAGATTAATATTTGTACACACAAGTACAATCCTGGGGCGGCATTTAGTGTGCCACAGCACACATGTAAACGTTGATGGGATTGGCTGGGGCACGAGGATGCTTCAGTGTAGGGGCTGCCTGCTGGCTAGCCCTGCACTGAACCACCCTCTTGCCCCAGCCAGCCCCTCTACAGCACACTTAGCTGTGTTGGAGCAGCCCTGGCCTGGCAGGCTGACCCCCTGGACCTCCTGCCAGCTTGGGCCACTCTGCCCTGGTTCAGTGAACTGTAGTGCCAGATGCACATGTAAATGTGGCACCCAGGAGCAATAAACTGTGGCACAAACTGCACTGGATTTTATTCAGTCACATTAATAATGTGTAGATGTGCCCAGTTTGTATAAAAATAAAAACCTTACAATCTTCAGATGAAAGTTATGTAAAGACTTATAATTCTAAGTGCTCTAAGCTCTACACTTGTTGCATTTATTTTTTTTTCTAATTTTTTTGGAAAAAACAGTTGAAGAAACTTCAATTTCTTCTACATTTTTCTTTTGTGTAGGTGACATTGCAAAGCCGTCTGGAGAGACTCTTTGAGGCCTGTTTTCCTTCCATACCTGTTCTTGAAATAGAAGAAGAAGTAATTTCCTTAAATCTCTTGTTGGAAGCGGACAACAAGCAGATGAGAACTGGCAAGACCTTGGTAAACAGTGGGTAAGTAACCTTTCGTTTAGCAAACTTAAAGAAGAATGAGTACATAAATGCTGCTTTTAGTTAAGTGTATGTTTTAAAATGGGTTAAAACTTCAAATCTGACATCATTCACTAAGTTGAATATATAAAAACTGATGTAGTTTTTAAGTCTGTTTTTCAGTGACTGTACATTGGTAGCATTTCATCTAGTTGATGGTTTCTCATGTACTTTCAAGTGATGTCTAAATGAGAGAGTTAATTAGGATGTGGCTTATTACTTACACTTTGCTACACTTTACTGTATTAATTCATATGATGATGAAGTCTAAGTAGGCCCTGTTCTGTTTGCTCTGGGCTTCCTTCTCCAATTATATGTCTGAAGAATAATTGTTCTGAGAACACGACAGCAATTTTAGCTCCCCCGAGTACTAATGTTTGGGCACAAGTTTAATTGGAATGTATAATATGTCAATCATATTAACAACTAGAATAAGTGGTTAAAGCAGCTGTGTCATATGATTCTTCCTGAAGATGACTTGATTTATGATGGTCTGTGTAGGGAGCTGGTGGATATGTGGAAAGAGCTGCAGGATATCCATGATGCATATGGATTGAGGTACCAGTGGGGAGGCTCTCACAGCAACAAAAAGCTTTTGTGTTCCTTGGGAATCGATACAAGAAATATTGTGAGTTCCTCAATAAAACTTAATTGATTAACAGCTGTTTCTTTAACCTGCTATAAATGTACATGTGCATGTATATGTTTTTATGAATGATCACATCCCTTGATGGCAATAGGGTTTCATGCCAAACCACTTAACAACAGTGAAGATGTAGTACTTAAGTTCTTAAAATGAAAATACTTAAATATTAAAAACAAATTAAAATCATCTTACCCATATTGCATGTTTGTTCTACTATAGATCTTACACTATTGCCCAGGAGCAATTTTTTCAAAGATTGATTTGTTTTAAAGTTATTTTAAGCCAGCACAAGAGAACTTTTTAAGTGATCTTTTTTATCAGCTTTTTACAGGCAACAAGAAGCAGCCTGTGATAGTACCCATGTATGCAGCAGGACTGGTAAGTACTGTAATGCAGTTTCCAAAAAATACTGTATGGGTTTTTGAAAGTATAATCAAATATATTAAGTACCTTCTGTGAAGAGAAACTAAAAGATATTTGTTATATATACTGGACATCAGCTGACATTGGGGAAAGCACTCTTTACAAAGCTGAACTAGACTAATTAGCTTCACAATAAACATCTTGCATCTACACGTGTGGCCCTATTTGGCCTCAGGAAACTAATGAACTCTGCAGCAGTGATAGTACTTGTATTTACAGGTGCAATTTACAAGTACTGCCCTGCTGCAGAGTTTTTTATTCCTCAACACTGCACATGTAGATGCTGATGCAACTGGCTGGGGCACAAGTCTGCTGACTAGCTCTGCACTGGAGCACCCTCGTGCCCCTGGCTGAGCCAAGTCAGAGCAGCCCCAGGTTGGCAGGCTGCCTTCCTCCCCGCCGGACCTCCTGCCAGCTGAGGCTGCTCTGACCTGGCTCTGTGCTGTGGTCCTGGCCACACATATAGATATGGCACCTGGGAGCAATAAATTCTGGTGCGATAAGTACTGGAGTTTATTGCTTTACTTTAATAGCATGTATAGATGCGCCCAGTGAAACGAAAAATAATTCTAATACGCAGACAAAGTATGTGGGATTCGGGATATAGATATAAACACTTTGAACACACGCGACAATTGAGACATTTTAAAAAATCGTGTCGGTAATGGATCGGAGCATCAGCCTATATGGTTTAACATAGTATGATTTGTCCAGTACTAGATGCTTCATTAGAAAGTTCAAGAAGAATCATAGTAGCAAGTATGGTATACGTAATGTTATTTTTCCCAAACCCCATCAAACTTTGCTTTTGCGACCATTATATTGATCTTCTATATGTAACTTTTGTATGTAATTACATGAATATGTTGCATAGTTTAAGAAACAGTATCTTTTCCCAGTATTTTTAGGCATGAGAATATCCCCTTGTAATGTGTTGCACTATCCTGAATGTACATACTCTGTAAAAGTCCTTTAGGTACAAGACTTACTGAATCCTTAGGTTGAACAGATTCCACGACTTCTGCATCCTTCAAGGAATCCTTTTATACAGAATTAACGTTGGGCCCTCTGTACTTCCACATTGTATTCCATGGACGCAATCACTGGTTTTGCTCTGACGATTAATTGAAATATCAGAGAAACAGTAGCACCAGTCCTGGGTGTCATCTTAGAGGCAACGCAAGGATGTCAGCTGCCAGCTTGGCTACTGCCCCAGTTGTGGCTGCTGCTGCCCCTGCCCGATTATGCCTTCTTGCAGAAGTACTTTTCGCTTCCAAGGACACTGAAGTAAAACCCTTTTTAGTTTGTATGATGAGATCATCCTTTTTAATTTCAGAATTGTAAAGTATTGACTTGTCTAGTATCTCATGCAGGCTGCCATAGCTTTATGAGGAAGAACATTGAAAGATCAAAAATTGTCTCTCTGCTATCTCAGTGAAGCAAACTTTCTACTCCTAGGAGGTTTTTTTTTTAAGTAGTGCTATATCAACTCTTCCTACACAAGAAATTTCAGTCATCTGTTACATATTAACCTCTGATATGGAGACTTACTTACCAGGGCATATTTTAATGTATGAATTTACAACAGTTTCTTCAGAGATACTAATCTAAAATCAAGAATACGGTAACTTAAAATTGAATCTTCCAGAGCAGGTGCTTTTTGATTTTTATTAAGGCCTGTTTTATATATTACCTTGTACCAGGATAACCTGCATATAAAGGGACTTTTAAATCTCTTTAGTAAGCAGTGACTTATTTTTGTGTGTATTTAGGAGCAGATCCATCTATTGTACCAGCAGTAAGTAATGGGGAATAAGAGACAGTGTTATACATACATGAAAGCCTTTGCAGAAAATTTCATAACACTCTCATGGTCACTTTCTTCAAGGCTGTACATGTGAAATACTAACATAACTAGATAGGCCTTCTCAAGACCGCCATCTCTCTTAAAAACAATCTTACCCTGCAGCTTCAGCTGGTTCCTCCCCTCTCAGAATAAGTCTTACGGTCCCAGAGAAGCTGGGACTTGAACCACCTGGCCTCTAGACTAGCTAATCTTGATTAACTTCCTTGCGTTAGTTTGGTTTTGGTATGCATCTGTGTGCCCACAGGACCCTTGTATGTTTGATAATGCAAACTTGTGCTGATTTAGGAAAGAAGCCAGAGGTTTAAGTATCCACTTAACTAGTTCTGCTTGGCCTTGAACACTTCGTTCAGCCTCGCTTCATTGGGTCTCCCTCCGTTCTTTTCAATGGATGTAAATCTATGACAGTAGCTATAGCAGACTGTAAACAATACTTGACGCAGAATCAGTTCTTGGAATTGTACTACAGAATTATCTGTACATTATTACAGAATGATAGTTACAAAAAATCTTTACATTGGTTCCTGGGACCAAAATAGAATAAATAGTACTGGTCCTTTCCACTTTGCCTTTTGATCCTTTTTTATAATAGACCACTAGCGACAGGAAAGGGAAATGTCTTTTTGATTTGCATTACAGTTTCTTCTAACTTGTTACTGAAAATACAGTTAAATTTTGATTAAAGAGGACTGGATCTATGTTTTGTCGTAAACCGTTTTTTCTGTGCTGTGTTTGATAGAGCCAGAAGAGGTCTCAGTCTGAGAAATAACATGTGGGAGACGCCCAACTTCAGATAATGCTGTGTAGTACTGGGTATAGTCTCTGTATCTCTTGGAATGTTTGTACATATGACTTCTATTTTTTAGGGTATGCTAGAACCTACCAAGGAACCCTTGAAACCAATATCTGCTGCAGAAAAAATAGCTTCATTAGGACAGACGCCCCCTGTATCACCAGAGATGAACACATGCACATCTGATCAGTTTCAGGTAAAAACAGGAAAAAAATGATGATGATGATGTCTGAACTGGCTTTAACATTTTACAGTTTTAGGTTCCAGAGCCAAAGGAATCTGAGTATGTAAAGGAGAGGTTTTTCTCAATGCCACAGTAAATCCCCACTCTTGGATCCACTACTCATGAGGCTGGAGGGAGTCCCCTAGCTAAGTGTCTAGCTGCCAGCCAGTATCAGGGAGACCTGCATCTTTAAGAGCCCTGGTGACCTCTAATGCCCTAATAGTTTACTTTCTAACAACTGACAGTGAGAGAGTTGTTCTGTGATTGTGAATAGTACCAATACAGCTGGTCCTTCTCTGACTGATGTCTGTCATTAAAAACTCTGGTTTTCCTGTAACTTCTCTAATCTAGTGTCTTATTATTTTTCAGTTCTTTTCTGTATGGAGCCACTTTACCTGTCTGACAGGAATTTTTTTCTAAATTATTATTTAAAGCTGTGCTTGTTGCACTATGTTTCCATTCTCCTTTCCCCTTTATCTTTCAGAATATGTAGGAGGCAGCCTAGCCACCTGGAGAAATAGCCTGGGTGCAGTCATAAAATGTCCATTGCTAGCACATGTGATTGTCTCCACCGTCTGGGCAAAGACCGCGACTGGTTCTGCTGACCTGCTTGTACCAAAATGTCTCCATGAGCAGTTCTGTCAGTGTTGAACACCTCAAGGCTTCTTGAGTGGTGCCTCTACCCTATAAGTCTGATGCAAAGTAAGTTCAGAAAGAGTCTAAGCAAGCCTTTGATTGCACCAGAGTCTAGATTATCCCGTTAGGTACCAATAGACTGCATAGATGCCAAGCATTTGAATGCAGCAGGTCTGGTGAACTGCTAAAGCGCTTTGCTTTGGTGCCTTGCAACAATTACCGGTATTGCTTATTTGAGCTAGTATGATGCTCAGAACCATCTAAATAATTGGTATGTCACCACAGAGTCAAAGAATAAAAAGTTCAATCCAAACTTCCATTTGAGTTTAGGTCTTAACTATGCAACTCCTCTGATTGCATGTCAGAGTCGTAACTTCTGTTGAAGAAACTGCTGTGACTCCAACTCCCTGTCACGTCACAAGGTCAGGTACTTCAGGGCTTATTGATTTCTTGGTCCTCCTACAGTGCCTTGGGTGCATTACAGTTACCACCATGTCTTGTTGATTAAGGTGTTTTGCATTGTTGACTGCACTTGGAACTGTCAACACAGTAGGTGCCCCAAGTGCATCTGTACTTTGTGCTTATCCCTTATCTGTGTCTTTGCATTCAGCTCTTATGCTTGCCACAGCATCAGAACATCAGGGACAACGTGGCCAGAAAAAACATTCATGAATTGGTGGTGCAAGTGCATCCCTTTTTCTAGTTCTGTTTTAAAACAAGTCCTACAGAGAGATTGGTTATTGCCAACAGTGTCTTTCAGAGATGTCCATTCATTACCTTATTCAGTCTGAGCTGAAGAAATGTTTGGGTTTTTTCCCCCAAAACTTTATCAGGACAAAAGAGGGAAAAGCAGCCAGCTTCTTACGGAATTCAAGCATCTCCTCTTACAACCAGGATGATTGATGTCAACTCCATTAATCTAGAAACCTGCTGGAATTACAGGACAAAAATAGCTGAATGCTTTGAAAAATGCTACTTTCACACTTAGCTGGCATTACTTGTGCTAGATGCTGAAAATGGTGTAATATCATTCTTCTTCCTAAGCTATTTCTAAAGTAATAGAGTGACACAGTGCCCTTGCACACTATACTGGCACTATTATTCCATTTACTTCATGAGATTCTGGTGAGTGAGTTGATCTTGCCTCCAGCTTCAAACTGCCAAGACTTTCGCAGATTACCTCCCCTGGTCTGTGAATATAGAAAAGAGGCATCCATATTGGGGAAGATGCATCAGTCCTCAATTCCTTCTGCCTGTGTTGAATTTCCAATCCCAGATGGACAGGCACCAGAATTAGCTTCCAGACGTGTACATCTTTCTGCTCTCTTCCCCAGCGCAATATAGAATTTGATACCCTTTACAAATGGCATCAGAATGGGCTGATACTGGGTAATCTTGGATGCTTTGATTGGTGAATAGATAGTCAGGTATTTACACACAAACCTTAGCTGTTCCCAGATGCTCATGATGAAGAAAAAACCCTTTACAGAAAGTGAAGAGCAAAACCTTTTGTTCCATTGGCTTTATATCGTAAAGGAATGCCATCTTGCAAGTCTAAAGCTTAAAGACTTGGCTTACAGGATGATTCTGTACCCTGGGAATGGGGGTACTCTGGGTTGCTGTCTACAGATGCAGTTTGATCTGAAACTTGGTACTACCTACTAGCAAGAACTGCATGGTATTTGGAAGGCTCGAGAGCGTATAATGAATGAATCTTCTCGGATGCCTGGCTTGTTGATGAAGGTTGGGGTCCCTTGCTTGTTCCATATAGGTTCTGGTTACCTTGGCTAACAGAAAGTACAGAATTTGTTTCAGAGGAGATTTCTTAAATTGTTCTTCAGTAGGCCAGCAGTGGGAAGAGAATGTAGGGCAACCCAAACTATGGCAAAGATTTCATGAAGTCTTGTTGTGGATATTGATAAAAATAAAATGGAAATATGCTAGCCAGTCTTAGAGGTACCTGAAGTCTAGTCACAAGCCACAGACCCACCAGTTGTAGCCAGGTCATGGCATGATCTTTGAGATTTGATACGTTAATTCCAAATTCCTTCATTTCTATTTATGGGCTTGAATTTTTCTTCATACCAAGCAGATAATCTCTGCATACAACTCTGATGGATACCAAGGTCATAATGGTTTTCAGAAATCTGGTTTCTTAATAGTACAGGTTTAAGGTGGTTCTTATGTCTTGCATAAACAGAAGAACATGGTTAGGATTGGTCTCTCAGGAAAATGTTCATTTATGAGATTCAGTAACATTCCAAAAAGAATTTCTTCTCGCCTTTATTCATCCAGATAAGTGATAATGAGAATACTGTCATACCAAGCAAGCTACTCAGTAGCAGTCTCCTATTAGTAACTGAAGAATTACTGGGTGAGGCTTTATGAACTGTATAATGCAGAAGGTCAAGTGAACACAATGGTGCCTCTGGCAATTTATAGCTGAGTTCTCACTTTTGAGACAGGACATCTGAAACTTCCTTCTAGTCTCATCTGTTAATCTGCCAATGACCTGTGTAAATCATTTACCAAATATCACATGACTGACTGCTCTTTTCCATTTACTGAAGGAGTTCTCAAGTAGCAAAGGTTCTAGGACCTTAGCTTTTTGCTGGCTGTCTTTTCAATCTTGGTGTCATTAGACCAATGATTCTCAACCAGGGTATAATGGTATCCTGAGGTGCCATTGTATCTTTTTAAAGGTGTCTCAATATTAGCACTGTTAGGTATACAAGCCTCTACACTTGATTCACAAGATAAACTTAAAGATTTCAAGTAGGAATCCATAGTGTCAAAAACATTATGACCTTTTTGTGATCTAAGTTCTTTGCAATAATATAATTACTCTGTAATTTTTCCATAGTAAAAAAAATAAGTGGAAACTAAGAGCTGGCCTTTTTTCCAAGGAGTGCCTTGAGTCTAATGAAGGTTGAGTGCCCTGAGTTTAAAAAGGTTGAGAACCGCTGCATTAGACTGAAACTTTTGTTGAACATCATGCACAGAAGCTACCACTCTGCAGAACAAAACATGATTCTCTTTGTTAGCTTGTCTCTTGGAAGGATAGAACATGAACCACATTCTAATGGGGATTTAAAGTCCTCAGGTATTCGCTTTGTATGTAAGTAAGGTGTTATCTGTAAGGACTGTCAGGAAAAGGAAGTCTTCGCTCAGTTCCAGAGAGAACCAAAAGCCGTGTTATGGACAAGTGGCGAACAAGGACTGAATATGCAAATGGAGAGAGTAAAAAGACAAGGAGAGCAAGAAAACATGGGAGTAAAATCTGTAAAGGAATTGAAAAGTAGTGATTCTTGCCAAAAAGCGTAGACCTCACTTAAATCACTTTATGTATTTGGAAAGACTAACTACAGACTATTAGACTTCTCTTCACTTCATATGTGCCTCACAAATCTGGTTAGGATATGGAAAAGTAACTTGTTAAAGAAACAAAACCAAAAAAACGCTCCATACTTTAAGCTCAGGTTCTTAATTTTATCTAGTTTTAGTAATCTCATTTAGCCGTCAGAGAATTGTAAACTTTACTGACTTGCCCCCCTTTCCCTCCCCCCCCCAATCAATTTAATACACATTAAATTCATTTTTATTTCAGATTGGCATCTGAGCTCCGCTTTGATCAGTTACTTGTCAACAGTTGTTTTTCTGCCCCACTCTTGAATGCTCATGCCAGCAGGGCACATCTCCATAAACTCAATGTGAAATGACACCTTGATTATGGATCACTGCAATAGCTAATTTACATCTCTGGTGCTATATCTAGAGAGTTGTCCATTTTATTCCATAGCAAGCCTGAAATAAAAGGTGCATAAAAACTCATTAAGCATGAGGGGAAGATCTACTTAAGGAGCTGCCCTCTCAACAATTACACTGACTTAAATCTCTGGGAGCAGGGACCCTTTGTATTTTTCTGAATCCACACAATAGGAGTTCAATCCATAACTAGGAGTTTGAGGCACGACAGGAAAACTAATAGTAGTTAGTTCCAGTCAAGATTTTTGCAGAGTTACTGTATAACCTGCCTCATGTCTATTGGTGTTGTGCTCTGATTTTTCAACTGTGGCTTAACACTCAATGCCTTGCTGTCTCTGTTCTTCTTTCAACATTCCTTTTTTTCTCTCGTCTTTTTTCGTTTTTTTTATATTATCATCCTAGTATATATCAAAGCTCTTGTTCATGTTTCAAAATACCTTCTTTATACTGGGGGACACGTTTTCTTTGGCAAAGCCTGAGGTTGTCATCCTCCAAATGTACAGAATGACTTAAGGTTTTCTTGTTTGTGTCAATGCTTATGCTGAACTTCAATCTTTTGAGCTCCATTGTTCCATGCTGTGACCCAGCCCTTGCGAGAAGAGACTTTCCACCGGTTCTTTTCTGAAGGTGTTGCAGCAGATTAATTACTTCTTTTTGGAAGGTGTTAATCATAGCATATCTACATGTTCACATTATCTGCAGAGTTGGAGATGAAATGTAATGATATCAACTTTGTACTTGGCTATTAGACTGATCGGTCTTCAATTAAATTGTTAGGCGGGCTCTTAAAAAGCACTGTTAATTGGGTTAGGGGCCACCAGGATTGCTAGCAGTGACAGATGCACACAACCCTGCTATTGGCTACCAGCCAGAGACTGCTATGGAACCCCCTCCAGTTACACGTGAGAGATCCAAGAATGTATATCTGCCTTGCTATGTACACTAAGAGAACAAAAATCACAGGTAAGAAAATTCCTTTGGAGTAAGAGATGAAAGAACTTGCTACAGTTTAAAGTGCATTGAAGCAGCTCTGAAATACTTTAGGAAGGAAGGTGGTGTTTCAAAACAGTTGGGAATTCTTGTATAGTAACATAGCCAATAAATACTTACGATTAATATGTGAATTTCTGGTACTAAACAAGACTCACGGTGGGGAGAAAGCTTCAGCATCTGTTTATAGCAACTGTTTAAATATTAGTGGTAAACTTGCATTGCCAATGTAGTTTTGCAACTCTCTTGCTCTAGTTCAGTTTTAATGAGTTACTTTTATGTAGACAACCTTTTAAAACTTAAACTTTTTTTTAGGGTTAAAGACACTCCTACTCCAAGTCCTATTAGTGTGCTAAAAGGGAATCTTAAAAGCAGATAAAATTGCTACACCAGAAAGCCATAACAATTACACAGTAGAACAAGAGATCTTTCAATTTCCTCCTCTTACTTTCTGAGCACTCCAGGTAACCCCTAGTTTTTGGGCCTGTTTGCCAGCCTCTGTATGGCCCTTCCTATATAAATCTGATTTAGGGTGGCCAGGGGGGAGGGAGGGCCCAGTCCTATCATTCATTTCTCTTGTTCCTTGTTGGGCATTCTTTTGGTAGTTAAAAATATCGCATTAGGAGAACTACTGAAAATACTGAAGCTTCCACAGGGTGTTTTGCCAAACTAAAACTTAAAATTCTCATATCTGAACTTTGCCATTGTCTGTATTTTCTAGGGTACTTGTATGGAGCTTTGAATTATCAGTGTAGTCAGAGCCCTCCTAGGGGCAAAGCTAATAGAACCAGGAACTATTCCTTGCATTTAATTGTGTCCAGATCATCTTGTGTCCAGCCCCCTCACTTTCACTTCATATGCTGTCTTGGAGAGGGCGGATGCTCCCCTCTTCATATATTTTTGGAGGTATCACCAAGGTTACCTACAGGTTTTTGCAATTTATATAGAGCTTTCTGCTTGATAACTATCCAAGCTAACAGAATAAATTTTGTCCCCTGAAGCACGATGGTATACGTTTCTATGTTGAAGCTAAATAGTTTGGGTTTTTTTCTGCAGCAAGGGGCTGTTGACACTTTTTTACCTTGTTCTGCTAACATTTGAGTGAATCATATGTCTGAGAAAGTAGGGCTGCTGGCAGACATGAAAAAAAAAGAGAAGAAATGGCGTTTTACTTTAAACTTTGTGCACTCCTGCACTGAGCCCAGCACGTGCCCAGAACAGGCATCGCGTTAGTTGGACCCAGTTCGCTCAACATCTGTATGAACTGGGCATGTTAGTGCAGCATTCTTGGCACTTTTATCTAACAGCTGATTGAATTTTATCTAATAGCTGCTGAAGCATCCAATCTATACAGACACTGAGGAGCCGGGTTGAACTACTATGCTGCCCCTTCCGGTGAAGCTTGTTTTTTTTTTCACGTCTGTCAGCAGCCTAGACATCTACCTGAGAGAGAGAGTGGTATAATTTTAACATAGTTTTGCCAGCTCGCCTCAGTTCTGACTCTAAATGCTTCTGAGTTTAATCCTGGGTTTCTCTTTAATGGGGACGTTGAGCTGTTGTGGGATGCTTGTCTGACTAATTGGGGGCTAGTAAGAAAATTTTTGTCAGGAGAGCTATGATTCAAGCTCGTTTCCCTCTTAATGGAAGAGGTGGTGAACTGTCCTTTTTAGCCCACTGCTGCTTCCCTTTTATAAGCAAAGCTGCTTCCAGAGTTGGTATGCTTTTGGTACTACACATTTCAAACAAATTGCTGGTTGTAGCTATTGTAACTACATCAGTTGCAGCATCTCCATTGGCACAACTAGTTTTCTTTGTCATTAACTTGAATGGCAGTATTTTAAGGGCTAACAGCAAATAAACATTGGACGTGGCATTAAATCCTTTTGGATACCACAGTGATGTACTACTTAAAGCATACTCATCTGTACTGGAAACATTGCAAAGGCATTGGGTGAAAGATGTCTGAGGTAAAGTGCTGCTGTGAGTAAATACAGAATTCCCTACCCTTCTCTTTTTTTTTTTTTTAAATAAAACTCAAATTTTGAGAAACTAAAGGTTCTCAAATTGTGTGCACCTGGCTCAAGCTTCTGAAACTGTTTTGTGACATTGTGTGATTTGTCAGCACTGATGAATGCTGTCAGCTTTTGGAGAAGGCCCCACTTACTGCCAAAAGAGTCAGCATCTGCCTCTCAACCTTTTGAGAGCCTTCTAATTAATCTTTAGAGATATGTTTCAAATTGATTATCAAGGAATTTCTAGCTAGTTCTTACTGGTGACAGAACTCTGAAACCCAAGAATCAAACTTACCTAGTTTAAGGCAGTTCTTCCCAGTTGCTTCTCCAAGCTAACTTCAATTGAACAGCACTAGGCAGAACTAGAGAGGTTGAGAAGTTCTTAATATTTATAATACTTCTGCTGTGGCTGTTTGTATGTTTTGCTGTGCTCTAACTAAAAACCATTTATAAATTATACTGGTTTTCAGGACAGCTAAATATATATCTCCCTCTTCTACACAATCTCTATGGCTTGTCCAGTTTACCTACATGTGCAGAGGGATTGAACAGAAGGAAATGGAAAGCCAAAGAGATTCTCCCAGGAGGAGCCCAAGTTTCCTTTTTTAATCACATTCCTGTGGCACACACCTTGTGTAGTCAAATCTTGACATCCTATCTCATTCTCATTGCTGGTGGGAGTTTGGGACTTCATCTTTCTTGGCTAGATTGATCAAGCAAAGGGTGGTATTCAGTTTTGGGGGATTGTAGAAAGCAATAGGCTCCCCAAGTATACTGGTAGAATGATCTCAAGAGAGGAAACATGGACTCCTTCATGGTGAATAACTTATTTCATACAATCATGCAAAGGTGTATAGAAGTGCAAAACACTTTCTAGAATTATATTCTGTTTTAAAAGCCCCCTCTCCCAATTAAATTGTATGTTTAGTC